TTTGTCTATCCTGGCATTTCAAATAAATGGAATCACACAGTATGTGGCCTTTTGTGTCTGGTTTCTTTCACTTAGCATGATGTTTTTAAGGTTCATCCATGTTATAGCGTGTGTCAGTACTTCATTCCTTGTGATGGCTGAGTAATGTCCCATTGTGTGTATATACAACAATTTGTTTATGCATTCATGTGTTGGTGGACATCTGTGTTGCTTTAACCTTTTGGCTGTTCATGAATACCACTGCTATGAATGTTCATGTATAAATTTCTGTGTGGACATATGTTTTCATTTCTTATAGATGTTTAGGATTGGAATTGCTGGGTTGTATGGTAGTTCTGTTTACATATTTTGAGGAAGTATCAAATTGTTTTCCAAAGCAGCTGCCCCGTTTTACGTTCCTACCAGTAGTATATGAGGATTCCAATTTTTTCATATCCTCACCAACACTTGTTTTCTGATTTTTTTATAACCATCCCATTGGGTGTGAGGAGGTACCTCATTGTGGGTTTGAAATGCATTTCTCTAATGATTCAAGATGTTGAGCATCTTTTCATGTGCTTGTTGGTCACTTGTATATCTTTGGAGAAACATCTATTCAAGTCTTTTGCCAATTTTATAATTGAGTTGTGTTTTTGTTGAGTTGTAAGTGTTCTTAATATATATATATATAAAATCCACCCCCCCATCCCCAAGCAGCTGGCTGTTTTGTGGATCTGAACCCTTGACCTTGGTGTTATCAGCATTATGCTCTCCCAAGTGAGCCACTGGCCAGCCTCTCTATATATTTTGGATACTAGACCTTTATCACATGTATGATTAACAAATATTTTCTCACATTCTGTAGGTTATCTTTTTACTTTCTTGGTAATGTCCTTTGACCCACAAAAAGTTTTAATTTTGATGAAGTTCAGTTTATCTATTTTACTTTTGTTATTGCTTGTGCTTCCTGTGAATTCATTGCCAAATCCAAGTTCATGAAGTTTTACCCCTATATTTTTTGCTAATAGTTTTAGTTTTTGCCCTTATATTTAGGTCTTTGATCCATTTTCAGTTAATTTTTGTGTGTGGAATAAGGTAGTGGTCCAGCTTTCATTCTTTTGTGTGTGGATATCCAGTTGTCCTAGCACCATTTGTTGAAAAGACTGTCTTTTCTCCATTGTATTGCCTTTGCTCCTCGTAAAAGATCAGTTGACTGTGTTTACATAGATCTGTTTCTGGGCTTTCTATTCTCTTTCATTGATCTGTTCTTTTGCCAGTACCACACTGTCTTGATTAGTGTAGCTTTATAGTAAGTCTTAAAGTCAGGTAGTGTCAGTTCTCTGACTTTGTTCTTGTCCTTCAATATTATGTTGGCTGTTCTGGGTCTTTTGCTTCTCCCCATAAACTTTAGAATTGGTTTGTTGATATGTACAAAATAACTTGCTGAGATTTTGATTGGAATTGCATTGGATCTGTAGATCGAGTTGGGAAGAACTGACATCTTGACAATATTGAGTCTTCCTATCCATGAACATGGGATATCTATTTAGTTCCTTGATTTCTGTCATCAGAGTTTTGTAGTTTTCTTCATTTAGATCTTGTCTATATTTTGTTATTTATACCTAAATATTTTATTTTTTGGTTATCCTTTAATTTTTCAGATATTGTTTTCTTTACTTCTTTGAACATATTTATAAGTTGATTTAGTCTGTCTACTAATTCTGACAGTGGGCTTTTTTTTTTTTTTTTCCTTTTTGTCTTTTTTTTGTGTCCGGCAACGGATCACAAC